AATATTATTATAAAATAATAATTATAATATAATTTTTTTAAATAATTATAATATTATAATAATATTAGAGTTATTAATATAATTTTGATATTATTTGTTATAATATTATTATTACATTATATTATAATATTTTATTATTATATTATATTATATTACGAGTCTGAATTTTAAATTGAGAAGATTTTAAATTTTAAATTTCATTAGGAGTATTATGAGTATTATGAAAGTTTAATTAATTATACTATATAGATTCCCGCACAATCTAAAAGCTAAAGTTATCTTTAGGCTGCTTCTGATGTTGGCTGTAAATTCTTCAAAAATTCTTCAAAATGTTATTTTAAGGAGATTTACTAAACACTAAAATCAGTTTTTGCTTAGCAGAAGTTGATTTTGGGAGCGAAAAGCAATACCAAACTAAGCTTACGTCCATTTAAAATTTTGGGGTAATTTTTTTAAAAATATTATTAAAAAAAAACTTTTGAATTTTTGTTTTTGACCCAATCCACGACTCACACTCTCATTGACATTGTTTAAAATAACATTGTTTGAGAATCATTGTTAATGTAATAACATTTTAAATTATTAAAAAAAATAGTTAAGCAAGGACACATTAGAGAAAAATGATGCGGTGAGCAAATTAAAAAAAATAATATTTATGAAAAGTTGTTGTGGTCTAAAAGGTTATGAAAAAAATTTAGGGATATATTTGTAGAAATTTATTTTAGTGGAATAATTAGAAAATAATTTGTTAGTAACTTTTAATATAATAATATTTTAGAGAACCGTCAGAAAAAAAATAATCTAATTAAGATCATATTTGGAAAAAAAGAATATTTTAACCGGGGTAAGAAAATTTAAAAAGAAGGAAAAGTATAAGATTTTGAGAAAGAAAAGTAAAAGGAAAAAGATTGAGATGAAAAAAATAACTTCAACCAAAACGTGTGTTTTGGTTGAAAGGGAACAATTTTTTTTTTAAAGAAAAAACTTATATATATGTATAGATAAATATGAATATGTAGAAAATTCTTTTTCTTTGACCCGATCGGGATTCTTTAGGGTGTGAAAATATAAAGCCGCCGGCCAAGCCGAGGACCTCGGGTATGAGTGTTTTCAAGCTAAAAAGAACACAAATAATCTTAAACCTACAAATTTTGGGGATTCTTGGTGCAGTCTTTACAAAGGCTACGGACACTACCGATAGTGTTGAATATTACGTACTAATGGAAAATGGATCTAACAACATAATAGCCATAAATAAGATCGACATGCTAATAAAAATGCTTAAGAGCACCCACAATTAATAAGATGAACCTTATTTGTAGATGCCATATCACAAGTTCTACCTTTTATTAATGTGCGGTGTTCAACACTATCAGTACCCACCCGTAGTATTTCTAGAACTTCGATCGGGAAGAGCCATGCTCAAACCAAAAGACATTAATCACCGCATTGATCTTTGCTCATATCTAAAGACCAGTGATACAACTCTTACTCTTTTTGCTAAAGATGCAAGAGAAATGCGTGAAAACTATTTTGACTATTGATTCAAGAGACGCATGGATTCTTATTTTGTAGATTTCTGTAGACACCATGCACTCTGTATCACTTATTAAACCCACATAAGCTTGTCATTTAATTTGCCCTTTAAATGAAATTAGAAGTGACACGTCGGACGATAATGAAAGATTTGTAGGTACATACATATAATCGACATGAACCAACTTTAAAAAAAAAGAGGCAAATAAATAAATAAAATAAGTAGCCAGGAAATTGACCTGATTCAGCAACAAATAGTTGTTAACCAACTAAAACTTGGAATCCACAACTCTTATGCTGAACCTATCAAAAACCTTTCCCGCATGCTCTCTCTTCAATCCTTCAGCTCCTGCTAAAGGGGACAGAAAGAAAAAAAAAAAAAAAAAAAAAAAAAAAAAAAAAAAACCAATGATGTGGTTCTTCTTTGTCATAAGCAAAAATAAAATCTGACACATGAAAAGATAATATCGATAATAAAAGGTAAATAAGGACCAACAAATTAATGTGCACAAAGCGAAAGAAAGAAACCAAAGACCAATATGGAATAATTATTTCCCTGTGGGTCAAATAGAGATTACCATAAATTTCTGCTGCAATTCCTTCCAAAATTCAGTTGAAAACATCAGGGTGGTTTTCACCTCAAAATTGAAAATTCTTTCATATATTGCACATTTATTTACATTGCCACAACAAAAATCACAACACCAATGGAGGAAACAACCAGACATAACTAGAAAACTAAATTGTCTTCTTTTTGTCTCCTAGAATTCTGTATGTGGTGCTGGCATATAATAAGATTATACAAAATTTAAAGACTTCCACAGGAACATGCTAAAAGAGAAGTCAAAATCTTCAATTAACTTCTAAAAGTTTTCTTCAACCTTATTCTCAGAAAAATAAATTGAGCCACTGGAGGTACTGCACAATAAAAACAGGACAAAAGATGTATAAGAAAATAGTTTTAATCCATTGTAAGCATTACAAATGCAACAAAAGTAGAACTACAGTGAAGAATATGCCAAGTAAACTAACCTCTCAAGAGCACCAATCTCTGGCGTTTTGGAACATCTTTAACCAGGGACTTGGACCTTTCTTGTCCTCGTTCCACTGCTTGGGATACCAAGGGAATTGCCACATTAAGAAGCAGCGCTCTGGATGAGGCATCATAGCGAGATGCCTTCCATCAGACGAGCAAATTGCGGCAACTCCTAAGGGAGAGCCGTTGACATTAAATGGGTATTGCTCCGTCTCGTTCCCGTCGTCATTGCAATACCTTACAGGAGCCAAATTTGAATGAAGCACGCGATCGAAAACACTATGATCGGGGAAATATGCTCTTCCCTCGCCATGGGCTGCCCACACACCCAATGTGCTACCCTCCATTCCCTTCAACATTATAGCTGGGGAGTCCTTTATTGTAACACCCGTGAATCGGCACTCAAACCTTCCTGACTCGTTGTGAATGAACCTTGGCTGTGCGGGATCGCCACCAAGACCATGCACACCACCAACTTGGGGACCTGGAATCCACCCCAACAGAGCCATAAGCTGACAGCCATTGCAAATGCCGAGACTAAACGTATCTGGCCGCTTGTAAAACTCCTGAAACTGATCTAGAAGGGGCTGGTTGAATCTTATGGAAGCAGCCCACCCTTTTGCTGAATCAAGGACATCGGCATAACTGAATCCACCAACAAATACCAATCCTCTGAAATCATGCAGTGAGATTAATCCCTTCAGAAGGTCTGACATAGTGACATCCCATGGCTCAAAGCCAGCAGCGTAAAACGCAGCAGCCATTTCTCTATCTCCATTGCTCCCTTCCTCTCGAATCACAGCCACTTTTGGCTTTTCTGTTGCTTTCAAATATTTCTCATCTGTAAAGGAAGGAGTGAATGACAAGTTCCATGCAGGTTCGTGCCTATCTTTCAACCCCTCTCTCTCTTGATCAACACAGGAAGCCAATCTCTGATACTTTTCTAGCTGAAAACTAGTTTCCTCCCACATGTCCCTAAGGAAAGACGTCTTCTCGTTCAAATGACCCAACCCATCGACCACCAACTCGACAGTGGGTTCTGAAGTAACTTGTCCAACTATGTTGAAAGGTATGCCTTCGTGATTCAGCTTCGCACGCACATTCTCCAAGTTGTTCTTGCTTACCTCAATGAGTAGACCAAGCTCCTCCGCAAAAAGGGTCTGAAAGAGGCTCTTCCCATGCGAAGTCAAGTCCAAACTAATACCGCAGTTTCCAGCAAAGGCCATTTCCAGGGCGCATGTCAGTAGTCCACCATCACTGATATCATGACCAGCAGAGATTAGTTCATCTTCAATAAGGGACTGAGTGCACTCAAAAACTCTTTTGAGATAAGGAACATCGCCAAGATCAGGGCAGTCATCCCCAACTTGATCAAAAACCTGAGCAAGCGCAGATCCTCCTAACCGCCGCTTTCCCTTTGCCAAATCAATGTGAAGCAACTCACCATCATCTCCTAACTTCAAATCCGGAGTAACCGTCTTGGTTATGTCAGGACATGTCACATACACACTGATTACAAGATTTCCAGGAGCCTTAACAATCTCACCTCCAGAATGGGCAGCCATTGACAGACTGTCCTTGCCGCCATCAATAGCAATACCAAGTTCAATCATAGCTTCTGAAAGAGCCGTTGCGGCATCATACATAGCTGCTCCTTCCCCATCAAGTTTGGCAGCGTACATCCAATTTCCGCTTGCTTTAACATCAGAAAGAGAAGTTACCTTTGCCCAAACAAGATTAGTGAGTGCTTCTCCTACAGCCAATCTTGCCATCGCTTTTGGATTCAACAAACCTTTAATTGGCTGCTCCCCAATAGCACATGCGCCTCCAGTAACGTCTGAATAAGTCTGAGCAATGACTGCAACATCAGAAAGAGTAATTTGCAAGGGCCCAACTGTTTGCTGCTGAGCTACGAGACCTGTTACACACCTATCCACTTTAGTTGTCAAGAAACGCTTCGAACAAACGGATGGAAGTCTTAATACCCTCTTAAGGGCATCCATGACAGTTATTCCAGGAGCAATATCAAGGGGCTCCCGTGCATCATTGACGCGATGGAACTTAAAGGTCTTCTGCGGCATGTCACCAAGTACTTTATCTAGCTCCAAATCCACAGCAGGAGGAGGTGCAGGCAGTCCATTTGATTTGCATCTTTCAATCGCTGTACTATCAACCAGAGCAACACGACCCTGACCATTTATTGTTCCAATAACAGCCATAGACACCCTTTCTCTTTCACAGATCGATTCCAAAAGTTTGCGGCTTTCGGGTTTCACCAAGATTGCATCCTGCTCTTGATACTCTGCACCCCATATCTCCAAAACAGACATTGTGTGATCACCAACTACAATTGCCCGAATGTCAATCTCAGCACCCTTTGGATAAATAATTTCCTTGACAACATTGCAATTCCCACCAGCTCCTTGATCATGGATGCTGATAATCGGGTTATTCTCACCCATCTCAATGCAGGCACGAACTACACGATACAATTTCTGTGCCATCTCAGCATCTCCACGCTGTACAGCATTAAAATCAAGCTCTGCGTCATTCTGGCCACTAACCATGCTTGATGCAGCCCCACCTCCCATTCCAATACGATAAGCAGGGCCTCCAATCTTTACAACCAGCATACCAATATCAGGCTCTCCTTTTGATATATGGCTGTGATCAATCTGCCCAATACCTCCACTAAACATGATTGGCTTCAACCATTCTCGTCTTTCCCCACTTGGAAGTCTCATTCCGAAAGTTCTTGTGTAACCCTGAATCAAAGGCTCTCCAAATTTGTTCCCATAGTCAGATGCACCATTACTAGAATCAATGAGGATCTGCAAAGGTGATGCCAAGTTTGAAGGATACGTGAAAGATGGATCTTCCCAAGGAGTATAAGAACCCTCCATATTAAGATTTCCCACACAATAACCAGCTGTAGATGCGATGACAAATGATCCTCTCCCTGTAGCATGTGTATCCCTTATGCGACCACCTGCACCTGTCTCTGCACCGGGGTAAGGTGCCACGGCACATGGAAAATTATGGGTCTCAGCAGTAAACAAAACATCAAGGTCACGAAGAGCCAACTCCAAAGGACACGTAGAACCCGGCTGAGCCGGTCGCAATTGCTCAACAGAAAACCCCTTGATGGCGCTCGAGTTATCCTTGAACCCAATGACAGAATTGTTTGGGTTCGCTTGCAAAGTGCTCTTCACAATCTGCATTAGAGTCCTGTTCATGGGCTGCTCATCAATAATTATTTCACCAGTGAAAAACCAATGCCTGCTGTGCTCACTATTAGACTGTGCGATGTCAAATAGCTCCACTGTCGACGGATTACGCTTAATTTCCTCCCTGAAAAGCCTTGTGTAGTACTGGAGATCCTGCTCATCAAACGCCAAACCCATTTGCTGATTAATTTCCTCCAATGCTTTACGACCATTTTCCATTACAGGCACATAGCGAACCTCCTCCGGAACAACACTCATCTCAAAGGAAGTGAGCCTCTGAGCATAAACACATTCAGTCATCCTATCATGAACCATTGCAGTAAACTCATTAATCTGACTATCTTGCAATGGACCTTTGCTATACAGCAAGTACCTCCTCGAACGCTCCATCCGCGTCACCTCCGTCAACCCACAGGCTCGACAAATCGAAACAGCATTGGAAGACCATGCCGTCGTGAAAGACAGCCGCGGCCCAACCTCAACAATAACACTGTTAAACCCTTCCTGCCTCTTCTCCTCAAGAAAGCTCTCAAACCCCAAATTCTCGGGCTCATAAGTCTCCTGAAGAAGCCACTTGAGAACCGAGACCTTCTGATCGGAAAGTTCTGACTCAAGCCCGATGTTGAAACACTGCTCTGTCTTCAACCCAACAATCTGGCTCGAGATTTTGGTCTGAACTGATTTAAGAAGTTCAGACGCTGCACTATCCTGAATTAGCGGCACGCGAAATAGATGAAAAGCTCCGACGCCGGGCTTGGTCATGGATTGCTCGACCACAGAGCTTCCAAGGTCCCCAGAAACCACAGCTCTGGGGGAATTTGACTGAGCTTGGCATTTCAAATTCAACGAAACGCCTCTACTATGACGCAAAAAATTCCCCCACAGAAGATGAGATTTTCGATTACGAGGATTACTGTGAAATAGCAAGCTTTGCCTATGAACACCCTGAAATCAAAACCAGAAAAATATATATATATACATATATAAATCAAACACTAGATCAGAGAATTAGAGAAACAACAAGGAATGAGAATTCAAAAACACTCGAAAGAATCGTTTCAACAAAAAAAAAAAAAGCACAACCAGGAATTAAGAAGAAAAAAAGTACCTGCAAGAATTCGGAAGCTGTGATTTCTCGAACGCCAGCCATTATGCGATCGACGAGCAAACTGCAAGACCACTAGAATTGAAAATGAGAAAATGAGAGAATTTTTTCTCGTAAAGTAAACAGAATCACAAGAAAATTAACGAAACTTTTATCACTATAACATGCAGAAATTCCCCACCAAAAACAACCCCTTGTGGATGATAAATTTTTCCATCGATCACAAAAATTAAAAATAATAATAATCAAACATCTACTAAAGGATCCCTTCAACAACTTATCATGTCAACAGTCAAGACCCTCTATTAACAATACTGTGCAAATAATACAAGCTGAGAAACTCATCCCACAACAATGAGATTATATATGTCAGACGGAATTGAACCAAAACTCATCCCATCTCAAAACTATTTAAAAAAAAAATTCAACACAAAGAAATGAAATCTGAGAGAAACTAAATATGAACATAATCATAGAATATGACCCACAAATTTGGACTGCTGTGTGCTTAAGGCTTGGATGGATTATCTTTTTTTGGGTTCAGCTATGACTCTACTCAGCTTGTTAAGGACTTTTAACACACTTTTTGAGCAACCAAACAGCTTTCTAACTCAAAATCCAGTACTGTGTGCCAGTAACCCATATATATATATATATATTGATTACATATATATACACCCTTGGCAAGGTTAATTCAAAGGTTTGTGCTCTTTTTCAACCTGGTTTGATCAGTTTTTCCTTTTCCATTTGTTGTGCAGGAATAAAATAATAACGAGAGAACAAAGAAAATGAGATTGAAGATCTCACAAGATCTGCAACAGGAAAAAGAGCTTTGGAAATTCAGAAAAAGAAGAGAGAAAGAGAGACATACAGAGGAGCGGCGGAATAGCGAAGCCGAAAACGGAGAGAGGAAATTTGGGTCCCTAGAACGCCGAGAGAGAATGTGAGAAGAAGCTGAGAAGAGAGAGAAGCTGAGAAGCTGCGAGAAGTGAGAACTGAGAAGAAGCTGATCCGGTTGCAGAGAGGGAGAGGCGCCGCCGCTGGAAGTTTGCTCGAGAGAGTGAGATGAGAGAAACAAAATGTTTTTTTTTATAGTTTTTTTCCTTTTCTTATTTTTTATTTAAGGCCATTTTAGGTATTTTCTTAAAGTTAAAATTGAGAGTTTAGAGTGCGTTTGGAACTCGTTCCCAAATGATTTTGTTTTCTGTAAGAAAATGAAAACGAAAACCTTTTCATTTCATTTTAGAATCATTTCTGAAAATGCGTTTAGTAGTTTTATTCTGAGATTATTTTTAGTTTAAAAAAAACTGAAATTGTGTTTAGTGGTTTAATTTTTAAAAATATGTAATAATATTTAAAATAATAATATATTAAATAAATAATAATATTACATATATTAAATAATAATATATTAAATAAATATTATATACTTGACAACGTGTGTTATGCTACTACAGAGAAAATGGGTGTGTTTCAGAGGAATCTCTGGAATTTTTTGATCTGGAGCCGAAGAGGCTGCGATTGTCGTTGTCGTCGCAAGAGAAGTCGTCTTCCAGGGTTCCAACTCTGGTGAGGTGGAGGAAGGGGTGGCGGCAGAGTTGGATGAGGATGATCGGAGGCGGTTGTGGTGGTGGTTAGGGGCAGCGAGGTCGAGGCGGGAGAGGAGGGGGAAAATGAATGGGAAATGAAAACGATTTTCACCACCGTTTACAAAAAGAGCGAGAAGCCCACCGTTTAGAAAAGTGGTTGACCGGAGAAGACGGGGAACAGAGAAGAGGGAGACCGGAAGAGTTTAGCCCGTCGAGATCGGAGAAGATTCTTACGCGACTCCACCGACAACCCAAGGCTTAGAACGTAAAAGGGGGGTGGTTGACGGAGATCGGAGAAGAGGGGGGGTTGAGGGGGTCGAGGGAGATCAGCCAGGGAACAGAGAAGAGGGAGACCGGAAGAGTTTAGCCCGTCGAGATCGGAGAAGATTCTTACGCGACTCCACCGACAACCCAAGGCTTAGAACGTAAAAGGGGGGTGGTTGACGGAGATCGGAGAAGAGGGGGGGTTGAGGGGGTCGAGGGAGATC